CCCACCCCCCAAAAAAAAAAAACCAGGCCGAACGCGACTCGGAGGATTTGCTTTAAGGGCCAAACTTCCGACGCGCTCCCTTTGCCGAGGAAAACAAAACCCAAGCAGAAGGTCCCCTGCTCAACCTCCCTGCTCGCGGCCGCACGTCAAGCAGCTAGACGCTCAGCATCCCGAGGGAGGCCCTGCCAGCCTCACCGGCGTCCGGGCAACCCAGGCCTGGTGCGCGCCTCACCCCCTGCCTACAGATGATCCTGCGCAGGAGTTACTCCCAGAGCCCGCTGCAAACCCCTGGCCGTGTGCTCTCTTCTCCCCGAGCGTCAAGGGAAAGCGACAGGGAGGCAGGGAACGGCTGGGTGGGAGGAGGCCGTTCCCTGGCACCAAGCGGCTTGGTAGGAGGCCGTTCCCTGCCATCATGCTGCTTCGCGTGCCAGGGAACAGTTGTCGCACTAACACCGACAAGACGGCAAGTGAAGAAAGGTTCAACGCGGCGGCCGGCACAAAAGCTGGACATGAGCCGGCCGTGTGCGCTGGCAGCCCAGAAAGCCAACCGTATCCTGGGCTGGATCCAGAGCAGCGTGGCCAGCAGGGCGAGGGAGGGGATTCTGCCCCTGTACTCTGCTCTGGGGAGACCCCACCTGGAGTGCTGCGTCCAGCTGTGGAGCCCTCAGCATCAGAAGGATATAGACTGGTTGGAGCGAGTCCAGAGGAGGCCACGGGAATGCTCCAAGGGCTGGAGCCCCTCTGCCATGGGGACAGGCTGGGAGAGTTGGGCTTGTTCAGCCTGGAGAAGAGAAGGCTCCGGGGAGACCTTATAGCACCTTCCAGTGCCTGAAGGGGCCACAAGGAAGCTGGGGGGGACTTTTTACAAGGGCCTGTAGTGACAGGACAAGGGGTAACGGGTTTAAATTGAAAGTGGGGAGGTTTAGATTGGATATCAGGAAGAAGTTCTTCCCAGAGAGGGTGGGGAGGCACTGGGACAGGTTGCCCAGAGAAGCTGTGGATGCCCCATCCCTGGAAGTGTCCAAGGCCAGGCTGGATGAGGCTTGGAGCAACCTGGTCTAGTGGAAGGTGTCCCTGCCCATGGCAGGGGGGTTGGAACTGGACGGGCTTTAAGGTCCCTTCCCACCCAAACCATTCCATGACTCTATGAAAACCCCGAGGAGCGCACGCCCACTGTGTCGCACGCTCAGCTGACCTCAGCCGAGCGGCCAACGCGCGCGGGGCTTTTGCTCTGTTCCTGGAGACCCCACACCACCGGTGCCAGAGCGAACGGGGAGCTCGGAGAGAGCCGAGGGTGCCGCCGCGCAAACTAACCAAAACCCACTTCCCAGTTAAGGTGTGTGCACTTGACAGGGGCAGGGTGCTTCCCCCAGGTGACGCGTGTGCAACCAAAGGAGACTCATGCAGATCTGCGTCTCAAACCGAGGTTTAACTAAGCGTGAAAAGCACGTCGTGCCCTGCTCCGCTGCCGGGGGAAGCATCACCAGCTCGTACTTAGACCTCCGCTGAGCGGGCAGGCGGTGACTATCCGTGCAGAGAGGCCTGAACGTCTGACAGTCTGCTACAGCTGGGAGTGCCCATCTTCTGTGCGCGCTGGTACAGATCCGAGTCTCCGAAGTAGCGTGCCCGGTACAACAAGCCTTCCTCTGCAAAGGGAAAAAGCCCAGCGTCAGGGACGCGACATGCAAGGAGAGCCAGCCGGCAGGCCACGTCCCACCGCGGGATCTGCTGGGAATGGGAGGCACCACAACTCTTCGGGCTGGCCGAAGCACAGGATGAGGCCAAGGAAACGCCCCATGCCCTTTAGGACAGGATGGGCGTAACGTCTGCTGACAGCTCATCCGTCCCAGGGAAAGCCTTAGGAACCTGGCGGGACCTGCCTCGCCTCCCTGGAGGCAGCCTGCACATACCCCAGCAGGACAGGGAAGGAGAAACGCCGAGGCTCAGCCCTCCTGACCCTGCGTGCCTTCAGCAGAGGGCAAAGCGACGTCAGTGCTGCCACCACAGCCTTCCGAGCCGGGTCGGGATGCGGGATGGAGTACGCCACGGGCAGCAGAGTCTCAGACACAGCCCTCCAACAACTAAAATATTACAGGGAGTTATTGGGGGCCTGCTGCAAATGAGCTGGCCGCAGCCTTCCCCCTCGGTTGGGAATATCCTACTGAGACGGCAGGGAAGGCCCAACTCCTGTCTGACCAGTTCCACAGCAGCGCTGAACACCACCACAAACCAAAAAAAAAAAAAACCACGTGCTGGATTTGTCACGAAGGCAGAGATTGGAGAAAAAAAACCCCAACACCACAGGAAACGGGCTCACACCTTGTTCGAGCATAACCTGAGCATTAACTCGGTCCCCAGTAAGGAAAGACCCTTCCGAAGCCGACCATCAAGACCCTCCGCTCCCGGCCCCGCACTACTCACTCTGCTGCTTCTCTTTCCAGCAGTTATTTCGAAGGTTTGCGATATAGTCGTCTTCCACGCTCCTCTCCACATTTTTCAGGTTTGTGCCCGTGTATTCCTCTGCGAAGTTCTCGGACACGTAGTAGACGACTTTCAAGTGCTCCGTCACTCTGCTGTGTACGTGACCCACAGACCTGGTTCGGAAAGAAGAGGCAGAACAGTGTAGGAGAGGCTTCACGGGTGGAGCAAAAGGCTCCCAGCTTCTCTGTAAGGCACAACCCGCCACGAGACCAAACATACATCACACCGATGCACCCACAGACTCGAAGGTTTGGAAAGGAGAAGGATTTCTGGTGGAAATGAGATGCCAGCAGAGGGAGAGAAAACCTGCCAGGCCTCTAGCTAGGTGGGCAGAGCTCTGAATGCAGCCCTACCTCTGAGGCAGACTGCCCAAGGCTTAAAACCCCTTACCATAAAGTGCCGATGGGAATTTTCCACCCTAATTAAATCTCTCTGCCACTTCCTCGCTGCTGGCGGCAGCAAGAACAAAATCAGACGCGCTCCAGCCTGCGCCGACTCGTGCGGAAAAGCGCTTTCTAGAAGGAAAATCTCTCCTTACCCTACCCCCATGGATTTGTGTTTTGGACGCAGCCCTGAACTTATTTTCCGCCACCGCTCCAGCAACCCTCGAGATGCTAGGGCGTGCTTGCACGCTGGAACGCAGGACCTCTGCCCAAACGCCGGATCCCTCAGGAATGGCTCCATTGGGAGACGTGCCCAAAGTTTCCCATAATAAATACCAGCTAGCTGCTGCAGGAAAAGCCAGCCTGATTTTTAAGGCAGGTATAAACATCAACTCATCCGGCTCGCCCTTCAGCCGGTGATCGGGGCTTACAGGAGCGATTCAAAGCACCTTTCGTCAAGGTCCAGCACGCAGGGACGAGCGGTGGGTAACCGGCGAGGCTGAAAACGGCCCAAAAGCCCTCTTGGCATTCTTTGAGACAAAGCCTAACGCGCCCCCGGCAGTGCCCGCTGGCAGAGGCAGTCTGCAAGACGCTCAGCAAAGAATTCTACCTGTCGAGACAGAGCCCTGCGCCCTCCCAGAGCTCCTATTCCCCTTCTGAATAAAGATGAACTACGGCGGCGGCAAAGCGTGCTCCCCGCCCCGAGGAGGAGGATTTCAGCTCGCAGAGCTTCCGCGGCACGCTCGAGCGTGAAGCGCAAAGGGCAGGAGAAACCTGCCACCCCAAGTCAGGCGTGCAGTGACGTCAGGCAGATCGGCCGAGGCGTTACCGGAGAGCAGGGTGGCACAGAGGGGCCCGCAACGCGACACGCCTGTCGGCAGAGAGCTCGGTTGTGGAAGAGAAGCATGACAGCGCTTCCCTTCACACCCGGCGGCAAAGGGGCCTGGCTGCCTGCGGGAGCGAGCAAGCGAGCAGCACCGCCTGCCGGCACCGCGCGCCTTTCCCTCCCGAGCTAGCGGCACTTGAAGGGCCTCGGTCGCTCAGGAAGGATGAGGGAGGACCGGATCAGCGCCTCCGCCCCTCCTGTCGACGTCGAAACTCGGGAATTGGGTTGCTTGCTGCTATCCCAGGACGCAGAGGTGGGGACAGCATTGGAGAAGCGAGCGGCAGGGAAACACCCGGGGCTTGGGGATGGCTTTCCTCTGACAGCCAACAAGGCTGGAAGCAAATCCCTGCCCACTTAAGAGCTGCCCTCCACTCTTCTCGCCCCACAGACCGCCTCTCCACCAGTATAAACCCAACCAGTACGCATACATAATGCTTAATTTTACAGTCCTAATGTCAACTGCAGAAATCACATCTCAATATACTTCAGCCTCCCAGAAAAACCCTCTTCGGAAGCGCTGCCTCCTGCGATTCCAAGCACTACCGACATTGTCTCTGCCTCGGGCCCGAAAGCTAAGCTGGGTTTGACATCGTCAGTGGGAAATGCCGTCACTAAGCAGGGCCCGCTGCCTGTAGCCAAGCCTACACTCTTTAAATACACATCCGGAGCTTCCACTGAACACACACTAAGCTTCTCCCAAGAACGAGGCAAGCAGCCGGAAACCAAGCCCGTTTTCCCCTTCTTTGTCGGCACTGCGAAGCGAGTAAGAGTAAAGACGCCTCTCGTCAGCCAAGTGAGCAGATCCCGGGCAATTCCACAGGATCCAGAATGAAACCCCTTCACTTTCACACAGTAAATGCCTGCCCACAGCTATTCCATGGCAAGATCGGAGTTCAAAAACAGAGGATTTCTCTGGGAGCGTCTTTTATTCCTCCTTCTCTCCCCTATTGCTTCGTACTAGGTGTAAACTGAGGTTTTCCCTTAGGCACCTCCAACCTTCCCCCTCGAGACCTGTTGGAGAACCAGGAGGCCTTCACTGATGTGCGAGACGTCAGGCAGCGAGGGAAACGGTGCGATGAGATAAAGCAAAGGAAAAAAAAAAAAACCCAAATGACAGACAGGAAAAACCAAAAAAAAAAATGACAGACAGGAAAAATGGAGACCTAGATCCCTGCCCCATCACGCCACCCTGCCCTCCAGACCCCCCCCACCACTCCCCAGCTGGTTAAATTCTAGAGTTAACAGGTACTAACGGCCTCTTGCTCAGACTGTAGGGTGGGCTGGAGACCATCATCTGGCTGAGAGCAGACACAATGATCAGGATGAGGATAGGCATCAGCTGGACAAACAACCCAAGGCCACCCTGAAGGAACAGAAACACACACTGGAGTGCCACCCATACACCGGTACCCAAGGATCCCATAGCATTGCCCTCCCTCCCAGCCCTAACACCACCTCGATTCTCCTGCTTTTTTTTTTTTGCAGGCATTCAGCTTAGGAGGCACCCCAAAACAGCTGGAGGGGAACCCAGAAGGACGCCCACAGTTCCCCCTCCTGAAAGGGCAGCGTGACTCCGAAGGTCCAAATCCACTGCCCCTTCTCCGGACGTGACAAAGGGCAGAGGGGACTGGCTGGGGGAACCTTGTGAGTGAACTTTAAGATCCTCAGGCCCATATTTTGTTTCACTAGAGCGTATGTAGTTTGTGTCCTGCTTGTGCTAGTGAGCAGGACTGGTTTTATGGGAAGCCTTCTCCAGTGCCAGATGAAAGTAATTCCCTGTCTACCTCACCTCCCGAGCTCGCTCCAGTTCAGCAGCACTTTTCCCTTTAAGCCTGAGAAAAAATACACAGACAGTTCTGTTTGTTTAAAAAAAAACCCCAAACAACTGGCTATCCTCAGAAAATAATCATCATAGCCCTGGTCTCTTAAATAGCAAGTCCCTCGCTCTCACTTCTCTAGACCAGAGGGCTTGGAGTGCTGGAGACAGATTTTCTGCGATGGGAAAATATCTAAACAGCTCGTGCTGTGAAGCATCTTCCTTGGTTAATTAAGCATCACAGATTAGAAACACCTCATCTTCAACGCTGGAATAAAAGGGACAATGAGTTCACGTTGGGAGGAGCCACTGGTATCCACACGATCTGAAAAGTGGATTTACCTTTTGAAATTACAGAACCAAATCCGAAAGGAAATGCTTATTCTGCGGTAAAGACTTTACTGGTGCGATGTTATTTCAAGGCGGCACCGTTTCAAGACCCACCAGCGTTCTCCCCACAGGATGACAACGGTGGGAGTCCTGGGAGAACAACCACCAGTAAACTAAACTGCAGCTCGCTGTAAATTCTGAAGGCAGCTCACTTCCTACGACTTCAGCTTTCTGTTCCGGGGGGGTAGAAACAAGCAGGACTGTTTTGCAAGACAGCCACACCAACCACCTCCCAGTTCACCTATGGGAAAAACCTTCAGACTCCCGGCCCCCCCCGGCCTGTTCTCCACTTACATCACCCTGATGTTCCCGTCTGTCCTGCCTCTGATGGTAGGTGTATCGCATCCTGCCATTGCTGTACACGTGAACGTTACCTGTAGGCAAAAGAGAACCGTCACACAGAAGCCAGAGTACGCCAGACGGCGCTACTTGGCCAGGAAGGAACCTCAGAAAGCGGCCGTGTTCCACCCCAGCCTCCCCAGTCAAAACTCAGGAGGAAAAAGCAGGCTGGGTGCTGACAACAGCGAATGCAGGAATTTTCACTTTGAACACCGCCAGAACGGGCTCGGGCTGGGAGACGTACGCAGAGATTGTAAAGCAATCCACGCTGCGCTCACGCTTCCATCTGGTCTGCAGTGACCGCTGCTCAGTTCAGCCTACTGTCCCAGCCCGCTCCGAGCTGGAAGAAGGACAGCACATCTGCCCGGCTGGGCTGCTCCCACTCTGGAGCTGGGATGGGTGCTTTGACAGGCTCGGGCTATTCCCGAGATCCCTGCAATTGTCCCTGTGGCCACCGTTTGGTCAGCAGGCCGTGTGGCCGAAGCCCTGGCCTCAAGCCACTCGGTCACGCTGTCCTGCCAGAGGTGGCTGCGGGTTTAGGGCGAGGGGATGCGGGACTCTGCAGGAGACCGATGGAGGAATTCATACCAAAAAACCCTACTCCTCACCTGACACAGCAACACTTACAAACTGAGCTATATACGCCACAGCCCGAAAAGGAGTATTGCTAAGGTTTCAATTTACTTTAGCTTAAAACCAGTTCCAAAAAGGCAGTAATTTTGGTAGTGTTTCCACCCAGAAAACAGAGCTCTTCCACATCTGTCTGAAATGTCAACACCCCAGCTGAGAAGGGCAGCTGGCTGAAAAGAGGTCCCGGATTCTCTTGGGATGGCCAGGAAAGAGAGAGAAAAAAAAAAAAGACTGAGCTAAAATAGCAATGTGCTGTTATTACAGGCGTAGCTCTACCCCTCTGACAGGCCGAACACGAGAGGCTCCGAGACGCCTTTGCAAGCACCTGAGATGAGTGTGGGAATCCTCACACACCGGGCAGCAGCGGGCTACTGGGTGCCAGCCAGATACAACTGGAGCAAAGACAAAGGGAGTCTTCTACAACACCCTTATCTTCCGATGAAAGCTGTGTCTTTCTGAATCAGAACGGAGCAAACGAGGGAACAGTCACTGGGTTCTTTCCTGCTACCCAAACCACTGTGGACAGACAGGGTATGGACTTAATTTCCAATTCAAGAGGTTTCAATTACGCTCTAGAAATCACACACTCCTCGTTTTTATGGGACAGAGTGGAAGGAAGGAAGTGGATACTGATCTCAGACTTCAGCTGTGTGGCAGAGCAGATACAGATCAAGAACAAGGCCCAGGCGTTAGCACGGCTTGTTCTGATGAGACGATTTAACTTCTCAAACTACCAGTCAGAAAATAGGATTCAAAATAGGATTATTTTTACAGCCAGCCTTAAAACAAGTCATTTTTTCTTCTCACATTCAACCCAACCTAATAACAGCTCGTATTGCCGGCAGACAAACACCCGAAGCTGTGAAGAACTCCAGCCCTGCTGGTATTGCCTGCTGGATGCCGAGTTCTCCAAGTTTGGAGAACTGAACAATTTTGAAATCTCTAGGGGCTTAGGTGGTGCGTGAAGGAGAACTCTCCCATGAAACTCGGCAATCCCCGTGCCGCCAAACACGCCGCCACTGCACTGGTGCTCTGTCTGACAGGATCGTGCCCCATTCAAGAGATTAAGGTTTATCGTGCTTACTAGAAGGAAAACCACCACCAAAAAACATGTTGAAGAGGTCCTCGGGGCAGATGTCTGCCTCAAACCCGCGGTGGAAGTCCGAGTGACCGTGTCCGTGCCGAGCAGGGTTGAGTTTCTCGTCTCCAAACTGGTCGTATTGCTTCCTCTTCTCCACGTTGCTCAATACGGTGTACGCGTTGCCAATGGCTGAAATATTGACAATAAGGAAGCAATTAGCATCTTTCTTCTCCAGATAAGACATTTAGCCCTGGGATTTGCCCTTCTCATTACCCAAACAAGATTCTCAACTGCCCACGTCGTTTTTCAACAGGCTACTTCAGCGGCGCAGCTGCTACCCAGCTGAAGAGGGAGTGCCCGGCACGCTTCTCTGGCAAACACGGGCAAGAAGGAAACCACACCAAGAGACTCAGTGGAAAAGGCCTTAATTAACTCCAACGGAGACGCTCAGGGCATGAGTGATATGAATCGGGTGTATGTCCCGAGAGAAACCCCCTCAGGTAAATGAAACTATGTGGCGTGAATCATAGAATCCCAGAATGGTTTGGGTTGGAAGGGAACTTAAAGACCATCCAGTTCCAACCCCCCTGCCATGGGCAGGGACACCTTCCACTAGACCAGGTTGCTCCAAGCCTCATCCAGCCTGGCCTTGGACACTTCCAGGGATGGGGCATCCACAGCTTCTCTGGGCAACCTGTCCCAGTGCCTCCCCACCCTCTCCGGGAAGAATTTCTTCCTGATATCCAATCTAAACCTCCCCACTTTCAATTTAAACCCGTTACCCCTTGTCCTGTCACTACAGGCCCTTGTAAAAAGTCCCCCCCAGCTGCCTTGTAGCCCCTTCAGGCACTGGAAGGTGCTATACGGTCTCCCCGGAGCCTTCTCTTCTCCAGGCTGAACACCCCCAGCTCTCTCAGCCTGTCCCCAGAGCAGAGGGGCTCCAGCCCTCGGAGCATCCCTGTGGTCTCCTCTGGATTCGCTCCAACTGGTCTATATTCCCGTGAAGGGAATGCTGGTAGTAGAGCAGCTACGCGTTTCACTTAAGCCTGTTACTTCTTTTGAAGAACTGAGGCCCAAATCCTTCAGCCATAAGCAGCTGCATAGGAAAATACAATTAGAGTTGACAAATTTTATTCGGAAGTGGAATTAAGGGAATTCAGCGTCATAGCCTAAAAGCAGGACTGCAAAGAATTTAAGTAGGGGCTAGATGCCGAGGAGGGACTTCAACTCCTCCCGTGAAAGCTGGTAAGGAAACGTTGGCTAGAAGTTGTCTCTCTCAGCTACAGATTTCCAAATTTCCAGGTGCCAGGAGTAAGGTGCATAGTTACAAGGACTGTTAACCAGCGCCTGCGACAGCGGAAACGTACTGGAACTAAATCCTGCCAGTTCCCCTTCTCACTCTCCTTCCAACCTTGGCACGTCTGAGCCTTTCTCCCAAAGCATCTGCCCGCCACGCTATGTCTGCACTTCTCCTCCGACACGTTCCAGCCTACCGCTTCCCCGCTGCGCCAACCCACCCAGGAGCCTCCCCGTGCCGCCGCAGAGCCCGCCCTCTCGCCGTCCTGTGTGGCAAGGAGGCGAAACGTTCGTGGCTGGTGCACAAGAGGCAGGGAGAGAAGGGAGACATGTGCCCTTTGGAGGAGATTAACTCCAAGATTCGACGTTTTCCCGGCAGTCAGATCGAGGTGTAGGGTTTCTTCTTGGACTAGAAATTTGGTGCGTGGAGGATGCGACATCGACAGACTCGTTCTCCTTCTGGTTGGTGTCAGTGCACACAGAGCAAACGTTTCTACAACCAGGCAAGGAAGCCAGGCGACAGGGACTGACTCTCAGCATGTTAACTTGCTCTTTCAAATGGTGTGGTCAAGCGACAAAACCGGAGAGGTTCAGGGTTGGGTTCGTTGCCTGACTTTCTGCTGACACAGCCCAAGAAACGCCTCATTCCAAATCGGGATTTTAGCTCAAAGCAGCCAGGTTCAACCCTTTTTCCAGCGTCAGCCAAAGGTAGTGATGCGAGTCTGCTACAGACTGCGGCTAAGCACAACCCCGGGCCGAAACAAGGTCTCAGGACAAGACGTGATGCTTTATCAGCTGTCACTGGGAAGGCGAAATGCCAAGACTTCAGCTAATACACCAGCGTCAGAAAAAATTAACTAAAACCCTCACGGCCAGGCACGTTTCCCCCTGCACCCTCTGGAACCAAACAGCTGGACTTCAGCAAGCGCTTGCAAACTAGGAGCTCAGCTCGGGGGCTGAAGGACAGGGGAGCCAGTGAGGCAAGGCTTGGTGGAGCGATAACCTGCGAGCAGATAGCTCTGCAGAGGAGGATAAAGGGCACCTTGCTTAACGCACGACTTCTGGCACGTAACTCTCGTTAAAGCCTTCGGCAAACATCATCATTTAAGATTAGGGGTGAAGAAACCTGCCTTTCGCCACTTTGCAAGGAGCGAAGGATAAGCTATCGACCAGCGGCTGACTGCCGATGCAGCGTCGGTGGGTGTCTGCAGCGGCTTGCTCGTTCCTCTGGCCCCCGGACTAAACCGGGCGCTCCCAAGTAGCTGGGGGTCAGCTCGCTATCTGCTAACAGCAACCCACTTATCGGTTACGGCTTTAAGTCTTAAAAGACTCAAGCAAACCTTACATAAGACTTTTACTGCTGAATTCATGTCTGCTAGCAGCTTACCCGGATACTCTATCGATGCGCTCGCACCAGGCTGGCCTTGCTCCCTGCTCCGGCAGAAGCCCGGATCATTTCGCTCCCAAGAGGGCCGAAATCAGACCGCGCCATTTGAACGGCTTAGCGCTGCAAAACCAGGGCCGTACAACTGCCATCGAGAAGTTCCGCGCTCAGCTCGCTGACAACAATCCAACTTCTACAGCTTGCAAGGGAAAACGGGGTTTTATGTTCCAAGCAGCAGCGTTTCCCTTGGAAAAGGACTCCGGTTTTAAGGTATCTTATTATCCAGGGAACATCCCCGCTGCTTTTGTAGAGAGGCCCGGAGAATTGGGCTCTTTGCAGCAGAACTGAAACTCCTGGTGACCTTTTTTGAGCTCTGGCTGGGCTGGGTTCTGTGCCCGCTGCAGTTTCGCCCTAGAAATTCTCTCCTGGGGTTTCCGTCCACCAAATCCACCTGCGGCCTTTGGCAACGGTCAGGTGCCGAGCGCTGGCTTAGAAACCTGAAGCCTTAGTGGCTGCCGGAAATTCTCAGTGAGTGGAAGAGTCTGAACACCAGCTCTGAAGGAGACGAGTTTCCCGCTGTTGGGCCTGCCCAGCAATGTTTCTTTCCACGGATTCGTGAACCCGACGGCTGCCTCTGGTGCAGCACAACTTACTGGGTCCCTACTGGGATTGTCAGCGGGCAGGGGTGCGCCCCAGCACCTGCCCCGTGTTGCACGGCCGCAGGGCTTGGAGCTTCTCCCTGCCAGGTGAACGCTCCTGCACCTCTCCAACAAGGAGGAAGGTTAACATCCGGGGGGAGTTTCCTCCTGAGCTGCCCAGCAGGAGGCTGGAGCAGCAGACACGAGAAAGGGAAGGAAAGCTTCTCCTTGTCCGACCAGCAGAGGTGGATTCTACCCGTGCCAACCCATGTTTATATTTGAAGCTTATATTTTGTTTGTAACACAACCAGCTCAGAAAAGCGACAACTTTACAAAGAGCACCTTTACTCCACTCTGCCTGCCTGAGGGGAGGTTGTTCTTATGAGTCCGTGCTAGCCCAACTCAGCCTGATTGGTGAGGGCAAATCACCAAAGTCGGAAATGCTCTTTACCTTTAAACGCGTCGGCAGCCCCTGGTGCGTGGTTCTTATCCGGGTGAAACTTCAGCGCAAGCTTCCGGTAAGCCTTTTTCAGGTCCTCATCAGAAGCGTCTTTGGTTACTCCCAGAACTTCATAGTAATCTTTGCACTGCTTTACCCTGCCAGCAGAGCGGGGAGAAAACAGGGACAGTCAGCTCCAGCTGGGGAAACCACTGAACACGTCAACATCTCGCGCATCGCAGTTTCGATCCACGTCGTTCAGCGAACTCGGCTTTACTCAGCTCCGATTCCTCACAGGGTGACCCACTTATTTTCCGAGTCATTCCCGCCGTGCCTGCGTTACGAGCACACCAACACTCTCACGGAACAAGTCAAGCCAGCAGAGGTAGCAGGGCCTCTCGGCGGGCGATGGTATCGCCCGCAAAGGAAGGTGATCGGCCAACAGGCTTCGCTCACCTTCTGGAGGCTGTTTGTGAAGGACTGCGAACGGCAGGCCAGGATCTGCAGGACAGCTGGGCTACTGGCTTTTCCCCCCAGCTCTCCTCAGACTCAGTTTGTTCACACGCCTAAAAATAACATCGGCTGAACTCTAGAGCAGGCAGAGGGGGCTGCCCAGGCCTGTGCGCGCAGCCCAGCTCGCTCTGGCTACACTCACAGCCCGGCCACGGTTTCTCCTTCTCACGTGACTCTGACGAGACAGGACACGGTGAGCTAGGTTTTTGGAGAAACCGTAAGTCCACGAGCCCGAGCGGTTCTTGCACAATTCAGACCATGCTCATCACCTTAAGCAAAGTTTACCAAGTGACTGTGCCTGCAGTTCGGTCCTTTCAACTTCCGCTATTTGCAGATGGCAGAAAGGAATAAAGAACAGCTTGAAACAAGGTTTGGAAAACCAGTGACTGGATAAACATGTCCCGGGACTTTCCAGCAGGAGCTTTAGAAGTGCACCGTGCTAACAGAGCGAAGCGTCCCGCAGTGGATTTCTACTCTGTCGGGCTCTAAGAGAGAGCACGAGCAGAATATCGCGAGAGAGGCCTATGTGCCTACAGCTCCAGCCCTCACGGGTGCCTCTGGGGGAAAATCTCACCCCTCGCAGACCCAACCCAGCCACCCCCCAGGGCTGCTGCAGCTATAAATCCTCCCAGGTACATTTTTAACACCCAGCCAGTTAAAGCTGAAATCTTTAAAACACTGTGAAAAAGAGACTGGTATCGCACGATGAATTCAAACAAACTGCAGGTTGAAGCCACAGAGGGCTGTGCACGCACCTCTTCACTGCATCCACCTGGGACTGAGTGTAGCCCTTCAGGGCCTCCCCGCCAGCCTCTCCGTTGGTCATGGGGAAGTCTCCGTTCACCTTCTTGAACTGCGGGTTTGTGGACTCCCTGGACTGGGACTGGCCATTGGCTGCCTGCTCGTCCTTGTTGAGGGACTCAAGCAGAACTGAAATGAGAAAGATGAAAAGAGAGGAAAAAAAGAAAGTTAAGGGACCGCCGAGCTCCATCTGCCCTTCCAACTCCCCCACAGAGACCCCTCTTCTCCGCCGCCCATTGTCAGAAAGACCCTCACCTTTCCACCCACGGAACCCTTGAGCTCCTGCGGCCTCCTGCCCAGATGGGGGGGGCTGCTACTGAAGTTACTGCCTGCTTCTCCCAGCGCACGCGACCGCCACCAAAACCCCGGGCCTATCCAGCCGGACAGTCTGGGAGCCGCAGAGGATCACCCAAGCGCTGCGTCCTCGTCCTCTCCTTTATTTAATCACATCTCTCCTTAACGGCGAAGCACTCCCGCGTTTGTTCTCTAGCATGTTACAAAGCCCGTCATCCTTCTTCACCTCCCGCCTTGGAGCCTACCGTGCTGGGTGAATTACGTGACAATGCCGTATCTCTGGAGAGCTCAGGAAGTAACACCGCGGGATGCCAGTCACGCGGGGACGCTCCCCTCGTGGGGACACAACCGCAGCGCTGACTGCTGGCAGCACAAGTCGGAAGGGCGTGGAGCCTACCGTGCTGGGTGAATTACATGACAATGTTGTATCTCTGGAGAGCTCAGGAATCATCACCGCTGGATGCCAGTCACGTGGGGACGCTCCCCTTGTGGGGACACAACTGCTGGCAGCACAAGTCAGAAGGGCGCTCTCTTCCCTTGTGCTGCCTCACCTACGTGTTCGACGCCCCGAGAAGCAGCTGTGAAAACCGTCTGCTCTCCCCGTTACCGAATACAAGTTGCATAAACGCAGCTTCCCTTTCCTTAAGCGGTGCACGCACGCGTAGCGGGTCAGCGGCCGCGGCCCACCGCCTCCTCCTTGCAAGGCTCAGACACGGCCCTCCTTCCCCTTTTCAGCCAAGAGGCGACAAACACTCAGGCCCGGCCTAAGCTGACACGGTAAAACCAAGCGAGACTCCTCCAAGCACAGAAGGATCTTTCCACCCTGCATTCCCTTGGCCGCTGGATTCTTGTCTTTTTTTTACCCGATATCAAGCTGATCTCTTCACGCCTGTGGTCCCTGAAGTTTATATACTGCGCTCCTGTTAAAAATAACAGGCACAGGTAACGTGGTTAAAACCAGACACCGTTATTTCCCAAGGCATCAGTAACCGGCCCAGCTCGCAGTCCTTTTTCCAGAACCAACGTTTTACCCCCTTTGCAGATGGCACGTTACAGACCTTGCACTACCAGGGGGGACCACGTTCTTTACGCAAGCGCAAACAACGCTTGCAGGCCGAGAGGCGAGCCGAGATACCTTATCTGCCTCGCAGAGCTTGTGGGGGCAAGAACAAACCGCTCGGTAATCCAACAGCCGATACAGGCGTTCATCCCAGGGCGGAGGATCCAAGCGACAGCGGGCTAACGAGCAGGAACTCACTGGATGAGCTTTTGGGCTTCACAGATTCTGGCTTTTAGAAAAATAAATCCTTCCCTCGCTCACGTTTACACGGCTGAAGCGTTCACAAAGCTGTAGTCTATGTTTTTGTTCCCTCCGAACCCGGAGCAAGCTGCCAGGCGCTTTCAAACCTCCTCTCACGAGGCCGTCCCTCCGCCCACCCCACTCCTGCTGTTTTGGGCTCAGTTCCCTACAGCTTGCCAAGAGATTTTTGGTCGCACAGTTCCCCAGACCAACTCCAGAAGTCCACAGCTCTGTCCTGTTTTGCTCTACAGCCCCAGTCCTACTGCTTCTGCCCCCCACAAAGCCACGCTAGTCCTCCGGGAGGTCACAGCACAAATTCATAAGCCACCGAAGCAGCGCTGCCACGTCAGTTTTCAGTCCTACCAACTCGGCTCCCCACCGACCACTTCCTACGGATCACTTTTCCTCGTTTATTAGCCAACATTTATTCAACTTCTGCTAATTTTCCCAAAACTCCTGCGTAAAGGCGGGCCCCTGCCTAGACCAGCACACCCAGCTGCGCTGACGCACAGGACTTTTGCTGAAATCCCCTTGCAAAACCCTCCGCTGATCCTCGTGATGACACCCGTAAGGCTCAGCCAGGGTCAGAGTTTGAAGCGTGAGCTCCGCAACGCCGACCATTGCCAAACCCAGCGTAACGCAGGGGAAGAGATTTCCCATGGGGAGGATGGGCTACGCGAAGACGCGATGACCATCACCTAACTGCGGGATCCCTGGCAGCATTTCCCAAGTGTGGACCCAAAGTGCGGCTCAGACGCAAAACTTGTAGCAGCAGCACAGATGGGTCTGGCCACAAATTAGTAAATTGTATTTATATATTTAACGTTAACCAGCGCCGCTGCCCCCGCCCCCGCTCCCTGCTTTCCTCCCCTGTGCTCCAGTTCTCTAACAATACCTATCCCGCCTGGTATTCCTGCTCTCCCGGACCGCAGGGTGAGGGGAAAACCGGACAGCTTTACATTGCAAACCGCTGCTTGCCGTCACCCAGACCCGCTTTTCTGGTGCACGCCCTAGCAGAGCCCCTAGAAGAGCAACCCTTGCCCTTCCTGTGCGCTACGCCACGCTTTGTCCGCCAAACGTCGCTTTTCCTACCCAGTCATTTCGCAAAACCCCGAACGGGAAGGGAAACCACACCACTCGCAGGCCAGGCCGGTGCACCGCGTCTGAGGGAACGGGCCTGGCGCAAGCAACCCAAGAGCGGATTACAGACAGCCTTGGGCTCTCCACAGGGCAGGCATGCTGCAAAACGCAGCCCAAAAATCAAAACTCTGATAAAGTCCGTCAAAGTAAAAAAAGGAAATAGACCTTTTTGCATAAGTTTCTGCAACTTGAGGACACAGGGAGAAAGAAGTTGTTGGGTTTTATTATGACAAACCACTTCCCAGTCGCTTTTGCGACACGTTGACTACCGTACGTCATAAAGCTTCCAGGAAATGAGATCGTGCCTTAAAAACCGCAGAAAACTTGCGAGAAGGAAGGTCGTTTTCCACCCGTGCTGAAAGGAGCTGCAGGCGCTGGGCCACGGTGACGAATGGGGGTGACCGAGACGAGAAGCGAGGCTCAGCCGGGGAAAACAGGGGAGAACAGCGCGCTGGGGCACGGAGGCCCAAACGAGGCCTCCCCAGCCGCCCCCCCCCAAGGCC